ATCTGATATCAAAATAGAAAATATTCCGGTATTTTTAAAAATTTTAACAACAATGTGTGAAGTGAATTTGAAGGGATTAAGCGAGACATCGGTTGATTTCGAAGTATTAAGTGAAGTGGAGAATTCTCTCCCCTATCCTCCTTAATATCTGATTAAGAAGGAGGCGAGATATCAGAATTAGGGATTAGGAGGAATCAAGAGAGCAATTTTTCTATTGATAAAATCCTAAAATTTTTTGAATTTCTGAAAAATTTCCCAAATTTTATCTCGTTTTAGATATTAGTTAAAAATATTTTTTTATCTGTGAAATATTTTTTTCTTTTAAAAATATTTTCTAAATTAAGCGTTTTTACCCGATTACCCTGCCCCCTAGCAGGGTCGTCATTTTACCCGGAGCTGCGGGTTATTTAACCCCGGGTAGCTCTTTTATTGTACCGATCGGTTAAACAACCCCGGGTTGCGGGTTAAATAACCCGGTCATTTAACTCTTAACTCCGGGTACTCATTTATTGTGCGGGTTGAGGGTTATTTAACCCTCGGGTAGGGGTTAAATAACCCAAACCCCGATTTTATTGTACGGGCCCATATGTCAGATAATATGTTTGTATCGATAAATATGTTTGTTGAAATTTTTGTAAATTTTTTCTAATGTCAGAAACATAAATTTTAAACAAACAAAATAATTAATCAACAAAAAATTTTTAAAAAATATTTTGGAAATTTGTATTAATTATAACCATCCTAGCATTTGAAACGATAAATTAAAAAAAAATTTCTAGAAAATATCTTAAATATAGCACGAGACTAATTGTTTTGTTAATATTTCCTTTTTCTGATATTTCAGAATTTGAGTTGTTGAAGAAAAAAGAGTCAGCAGACATTTTATATTCTCTAAAAAATATTTTTTAATTGTTAGATAATCTCACAGAGTTATGTTCGGGGTTTAATTTAGTTTAGTTAGTTAAAAACTTGTTTTGGTTGCGGTTATATGTTAACAAACTTAAAAAACGTTTAAAATTATTTAATATTTTAAATTAATTATTATTTATTTAATTAGTATTAAAATTTTGGATTTAAAAACCCAAAGTAAATTTATATATATAAATTTCTTTAACGTATAAAAATTATTGGCAAATCACGGCAATTAAGAGGGACAGTCTAAATTGATTAGTGCAATTATTCATAGGCTACGACAAATATTTTTGATTTTTGTGTAAATTTGTGTTTATAATGTTTGTGAATTTTATAATAGATCACGCCACCCTCTCAGATAGCCCAATTAAACTCGGTTTTTTAGGAAAAGTTTTAATCTATTTAAAAAGTTTTTGCCTTGTAAATTATTCAATTAAAAGATTTTACAATAACATTTACTGTTGACAAACAACATTTGATTTTTAATAAATTTAAACTTGGGTGGAAGCTTCAAGGACTTGTTCGGTAAACTGGACGGCATTATCTATGCTGCTGCTTTTATCTATCCAATATGGGTTGTATTTTATGCTAAAATTAAGAAACCTAGTGTAATTAAACCGCGCGAAGCAGCCCTAAGAATCGTCAATCAAAGTACCCTTAGTAAACCCTCAGTCAGTGTTATTAATTCAACATTTTGTTTGAAGAATTTAGAAGGTAAACTTTTTAAATAAATCAAAACTTTTCCTAAAAAACTGAGATGGTGGCTGACGTTTCAATTATTTAATAGTTCATTGATTTAATTTATTAAATTAATTTGTAAATTATTTATCGTTAGGATTTATAGTATATGTAGTAAACTTAATTAGTATATTAATATACTTAAATATTTATTATTTATTTATTTTTTTATTTATATATTCTTCCTCTTTTTATCACTTCATTCTTTATTCTGTTCAAAACTAAAAGAGAATATTTTAAGGAAAATATTAAAAATTATCTCAAATCCTCAAGAATTATTTTGACTATTTTGTTCTAAGTAAATTATTTATTTATTTTTAACCTTATTAAGGGCATGCACAAAATTTGACCGCCGCAAGCAAATCCTTTTGACAATCATCCAAGTTACAACCAACCAAAACTGTAAGAGACAATAAACAGTCCTTATATTTGCAACAAAAGTCGCAAGCTAAATTATCACTTCCAGTAACAGCAGTTATGCTTATAAGAAGGAAAATAATTCCGAAAACTAACTTGTTCATTTTTGCTAAAATTTTAAATTAAACGAGGGCTTCGATATCTGCGGATTTTTCCTTATTTTGTGGTTTTTTGATAGTTCGATGAGGATTATTTTTAAAAATGCGGATATGCGGATTTTTGTGGTCTTTTGAAGATTATTAGGATTTTTTATGCTCTCTTGTGGTTTTTAGTATCTTCAGGCGCTCAAAATTGCGGATTTTTATAAATTCGTGATCGAAGCCCTGAATCAAACATTAAATTAGGCAAAACTAAATCATAGTAAATGAAACAATCAAATTTTATATAATTTGATATTAAAGTATATGTATTGGAATATTTATGATATTTAGTATTTTTAAATGATTACTTTTTATAAAATCTCCAACTATTTATATCTCAATCTCTGACTAAACTTTAACAATAACAATTTTAAAAATTAATGTAAATATTTTTGAATTTCAAAAATAATAATCAAAAAACATTTTCTATTTTTATTGCCAAAAAATTTAAATTTTAGTTATTTCTAAAATACAAACTAATATTTATTGACTAGATCAAAATAAATTATTTATATAAATTTACTTTTAAGAGTAAATATTTTCAAAATTTATCATCCAAAAAATTCTTAAAATAGTAATCTATTTTTGTATCAATTCCTATAATTTGAATATATTTATGATATCATTTAAAAAATCATTTTTGGAAAATATTTTTAAAAATTTTTTAAAAAATAAAACAAAACAAAAGTCATTTAATAGTATATGTTTACTTTTGTAAAAGATACGGATACTTGAAAATAGTAACTGGATCTTTCAACGGACCACATCGCTGTTCATAAGGCAAAAGAATCTCTAATTACTTCCGATCTCTAATTACCTGAGGAAGATTATGGTAGAGATAGGAAAGGAAAAGACATTTGCGGGCATTTGGAGGACGAGCTGGACATTTACCCCGAACAAGTCCTTTCCGCCCAGATGTATAATCATTAAAAATCACAAAATTTGTTCCAACAAATGTGGGATGTTGTTTGAACAACGGTAAATGTTTTTAGAAAAATTTTTTCTGAAGAATTTAGAAGGCAAAACTTTTCCTAAAAAACCAAGTTTAATTGGGCTATATGAGAGGGTGGCGTGATCTATTATAAAATTCACAAACATTATAAACACAAATTTACACAAAAATCAAAAATATTTGTCGTAGCCTATGAATAATTGCACTAATCAATTTAGACTGTCCCTCTTAATTGCCGTGATTTGCCAATAATTTTTATACCTTAAAGAAATTTATATATATAAATTTACTTTGGGTTTTTAAATCCAAAATTTTAATACTAATTAAATAAATACTGAATAATTAATTTAAAATATTAAATAATTTTAAACGTTTTTTAAGTTTGTTAACATATAACCGCAACCAAAACAAGTTTTTAACTAACTAAACTAAATTAAACCCCGAACATAACTCTGTGAGATTATCTAACAATTAAAAAATATTTTTTAGAGAATATAAAATGTCTGCTGACTCTTTTTTCTTCAACAACTCAAATTCTGAAATATCAGAAAAAGGAAATATTAACAAAACAATTAGTGAATCCTCTGTAGATACACTAAAATATACTACTAATGATAAGGGGAAAGAAACTAAGGAATTTAATGAAGATTTGACTGAAAATTCTTCAGTTTCTAAAAATAATAGTAAGAAAAAACGTGCTTTTCCAACAAATTGTATTGTTTGTGGACATATAGCAAGTGGATATGTATTTTATAATGCTATGTGTTGTGATGGTAAATTAATTATAAAATATTTATGTATAATTAAAATTTGGATAAACTTGAACACTTAACTTTAATGTTAGATATTAAACATATGTAACTTTAGGTTTATAAACTTTAGGAAAGCTGAACGATAATCAAACTTAGAATTTATATTAAATTAAAAATGCTTCAAGATTATAAAGTTCGAAATTAAAATAAGCATCCAGACTTGAATAAACTTAGAATTTTTTGCCTAAATTCAGTTAAAATTCATCTAAATTTAACTTTAAACCTAACTAATTTTTTCAACATATTATCAGGCTATAAACACTTTTTTCGTCGTTGTATTTCCAATAAAAATATTATTAAATGTAAAAATAATGGGATATGTGATGTTTCTAAAGGTGAACAAATAAATAATAAAAAATAAATTTTTATTTAAAATTTGAAGGTTCTTTAAAATGTAAAAGTTGCCGTTTCGATAAATGCATTTTGTCAGGCATGAATTTAATGACGTTACGTGGAAACAATTCGGAAGCTTTTTTGGAAACACACACATTTATTAAAAATAGACTTGAAGAGCTTAAACTTGAGGGAAAATCTGTTGAAGGAAATGTTGAAATAAATGTCAAAGGAATGTCGAATTGTGTTAATGCAGGGAGCAAAAAGACAAACAGATTTACTCAAATTTATTAAAATTTCACTGCAATCACCACATTATTTTACTAAAATTATCCTGTTCCCCCACGATAAAAATTTCAACTTTTTTTATATACATAATTCTAGTTTTAATCGTAAACACACAGTTTTTTTCGCACTTCATTATACTTTCTATTATTTTTCTTAAGCGTTATGTTACAAGATTCAAACACTGGTTTCATGTTATAAATAATTTTTAATTTTGATTTCTTGTGTTTTTTGAAATTCTCTTGCGTTCAACACTATCTCCGATTACCGGATCCCACAATCTACGAAAAATATTTATCCACAACTGAAAATTTTTAAACAGATTTTTATTTAAGAGTTTAAATCAAATAAATCTTTCTATTATGATAAATAATGCACATTCCTTACAGGGTAATCTTAAAATAGACTTAAAAATCATTTTTTATTCCTTTATTCATTAATATGGTCATTTGCCTTCTAAATTGTTCTAAAAGATGAAGGAAACTAGCGTGATCACCATCCCCATCCACCACCACAGCACCCACCTCCATACCAGCCTCCCCACCAACGCTTATGTCGGCCACTAAAGAATTTTAAAATTTGAATGAAAAAATTGAATAATTTTTAGTGAGTAAATTATTTTTTAAAATATGATCCATATTGGGTTGTTTCCTATTTTTATTCAAGAGATTCTGTAATTCATAAAAAATTTATATTAAACTCACTGTGGTATTTTTCCATTTACGCCCTTTATTTCTTCAGTTTCTTGAATTCCCTTTGAATTTTCTACTCCCATTTCAGTTCCATAGGATACAGCAACTAATAATGTTAGTAGAAAAATTGTCAGGAAAATTTTCATTTTTATAAATTTTTTCTAGGAAATATTTAAAATAAATTTAGTAAGAATTTAAATGGAGTGAATTAATTAAAAGAAGATTTTGTATGGAATATTTTTAATTATTCAAAAATTTCCACTTATTTATATACACAAAATCTTGTGTCAAATTTTTTAATTTTTCATCATGAAACCAACATCAAATTATGTAGATTAAAGAGAAGTTTTGAAAAAAAATATTAAATTGCTTAATTAATTAGGATTGAAGGCCACTCGACACAAATTTTATAGCCTACCTTCTCTAGATTTTTCTTCATAATTATTTATTCGCCAGAAAGCACAAACTTTTTTTTCACTAAAAATTTTTAACAACCTTAAGATTAGCACAAAACAAACTATTCTTGTTAATTTACAAAAAAATAGTTTATATTTTGTAAAATGTACTTACATAAATATTTATTTGACGTCTTATAAGAAAAAGTTTTTCATCAAATATTTTACAGAGAAAATAAATTAAATTGTTTACTCCAAACTTTAAATTACTAACATATGTTGTAAACATTAATTTACTAATTAATAGGTTCCGGATTTTTATTGAAATTTATTTTTTTTCTGAAAATACATTTCGTCAGGTGAAGCCCAAATATAAGATTAGTTTTCGAAGTTTTGATTTTATACAAAATTATATTCAAATATTTTTATTCATTAATTACGTTTGACAATTAATAAACTTAAAGAGAAATTAAAAATTAAGGACAATGAAAGATACAAGCGAGAAGTAATAAGAATACCTAAATTTTATATAATAATCTGAATTTTTTGTCAATTTTGGCTTATTGAACATCCAATTTGTGATAAAGTTTGAGCTCTCATAAAAAATTATTTAAATTTTGTTAAAGAACAAAGATTTTCAAATATCTATATCTTTTACAAAAGTAAGAATATATTAAATGACTTTTATTTTTTTTATTATTTTTTAAAGAATTTTTAAAAATATTTTCCAAAAATAATTTTTTAAATGATATCATAAATATATTCAAATTATTGGAATTGATACAAAAATAGATTACTATTTTAAGAATTTTGGATGACAAATTTTATAAATATTTACACTTAAAAGTATATTTATATGAATAATTTATTTTGATCTGGTCAATAAATATTAGATTGTTTTTTAGAAATAATATCATAAAAATTTAAATTTTTTTGCAATAAAAATAGAAAATGTTTTTTGATTATTATTTATAAAATTCAAAAATATTTACATTAATTTTTAAAATTGTTATTGTTAAAGTTTAGTCAGAGAATCGGATATAAATAGTTGGGAATTTTAAAGAAAAGCAATCATTTAAAAATATTAAATATCATAAATATTCCAATATACTTTAATATCAAATAATAAAAAATTTGATTGTTTTATTTACTTTAGTTTTGCTTAATTTATGTCTAATTCAGGGCTTCGATCTCGAATTTTTAAAAATCTTCCATTTTCAGCGCCGCGGGCGAAAATTTTGAGGATTTTAGAAGGCCTTAGGGGAAAAATGATGACATTTTATACTAAAAACTACAAGAAAATATAAAAAATCCTCATAATCTTTAAAAGATTATAAAAATCCGCAAATATGCATCTTTAAATATAATTCTCACTGACCTATCAAAAAACCACAAAATGAGATAAAATCCGCAGATATCGATGCCCTAGTTTAATTTAAAATTTCAGTTAAAAATGAACAAGTTAGTTTTCGGAATTATTTTCCTTCTTATAAGCATGACTGCTGTTACTGGAAGTGATCATATAGCTTGCGACTTTTGTTGCAAATATAAGGACTGTTTATTGTCTCTTACAGTTTTGGTTGGTTGTAACTTGGATGAATGTAAAAAGGATTTGCTTGCAGCGGTCAAATTTTGTGCATGTTCTTAATAAGGTTAAATAGAAATAAATAATTTACTTAGAACAAAATAGTCAACATAATTCTTGAGAATTTGAAATAATTTTTAATATTTTCCTTAAAATATTCTCTTTTAGTTTTGAACAGAATAAAGAATAAAGTGATAAAAAGAGGAAGAATATAAAAACAAATAAATAAAAATAAATAATAAATATTTGAGAATACATATTAATAATAATTAAGTTAACTATACTATAAATTCTAACGATAAATAATTTGCAAATTAATTTAATAAATTAAATAATTGAACAAGTTATACATATAATACATAACACTAATCTGAGAGTACATAAATCAAAAATATTTTAATTTATTTTCTAAATTCTTTTCAATTTTAAAATAAGAACAACTCGTGTGGTGTTAATTCCAACCAGTGGTTCCAATTAAAGGTAATAAATTTCGAAATTTTATCGCGAGAAATTGGAAAACGATCCATTCTATGTATTTTTTATACTTTAATTAACAATCCAATTCTTATCCATTCATCAACATTGATAATCCTCCTTACCTTGATCAATAGGAGGGTGTTGCATCACATAACTTACCCAATTGGCGCCGTAGGTGAAAATTTTGGAACGCTAAGAAGCCAGATTTCTCATTTTTCAGCGCCGCAGGCGAAAATTTACAGAATTTTGGAACCCATAACTTTTAGAGCCAGTTTTAGAGCCAGTTACCACGGATTCTGAATTTTTTACCTTATCGTGCTGAAATATTCTTAATAACGACGGGGAAACGTCTTAAATTGGGAAATATTTAATAAAATATTTCTCAGAATTAAATATAGTATATATTTTATCGACTTTATAAAACTAAATCTGAAGAATTTTTGAAGAAACCTTGTGATAAAATTAAATTTATTAAATTTTATTCAAATATAAAAATTAATTTTCTTTCAAAATTTACCAAACTATTTTAATTTTTTAAATCGATGTTTGAAAAATTAGAATCTGTTCAAACAAACAAAAAAATTATTAAAAATTATTTGCGTCAAACACTAAATTAGAATTAAATTATAGAAAAATAGTAGAGATTTTTAAATTTTTAATCTTTTTATTAATAATTTTTACATAAACTTTGAATTTTAATTTTTATATTTTATTTGTGACTTTATAATTAAAATTCCAACGAGGATACATATAAAGGAAAATTATTTGAATTATTATTTTATAATCTAAATTAATTTATTTAGTATATGTATTAATAATTTCTTTTATTTCTAAATTGTTTTAAAGTTTTATGAATGAACCTTTGGAAATTTTAATTATAATTTAATTAAATCTCCTATTAATTCGAGATAAATTTAAAAAATAATAAAACATGGCTATAAATTGCAATCTATATTTTGTTGCCTTGATTATTATATTTGTTACTTTTTCAGGTAGATAGAAAAACTTTAGAGAGTATGCAAATCCCGATACCGATCCCGTCTCGAGATTTATTCTTTAGGGCTCGGGATCAGCATAATAGGTATAGGGATTCAAAGAAATCGAGATAATCCCGCTCGATCCCAATTGGGATCTTGATACCAGCCAACTCTCTATTCACAAACTATAAACAACCCTAAGAAACATTTTTTCTTATATTTTACTAAATTTAAAAATATAAGGTAAATCAAATTCACTTGAATGCTTTAAAACTACATGGCCGAATGGACCACTTAAACCATATAAAACAATAACTTGTATAGGTGAATATTGCATGAAAAGTTTTGAGGGTCAAGGTAGTTAAAGTTTTATAATTAAAAAACATCTTAAATTTTCTTTGTTTAATTTTACCAAACAAAAATTTAAAATTTTTAAGACAACCTCAAACATTTATATCTAAATTTAATCCTATAAAATTATTTTTTACACAATTAATTCTTTCCAGGATGCACAAATGATGCTAATTATTGCGAAAAAAATAATATACAACACTGGGGTTGTTCCGTTTGTAAAACAGACAAATGTAATAAACTATAAATTGTGTAACTGGAATTTAAATTAAAAAACCTCTTTCTTTCCAAAATCTTCAAATACCAACTTTAATTAAAATTAATAATTAACTTTTTTTCATATTCTAAATAATTCATATGATATCTGTGCTAATCTTCTAAAATTATTTCAACCTATTTCTTATAAAAATTTTTGATAAAAATTATGCGTATGCTAAAATCAGTGTCCATGAGCAGGTCTAACTATTAGTAACAATAAATCAAAAACTCAATTTTTACTAGAAATGGTCATATGTATATAGAGTTTTCCTATTTGTGCCGGATCTATCCGTGAGGTCATATCGGTATCCGTTTATATCCGCACAATTTTTAAGTCGTATCCAACCTTTATTTTTGGAAAAAATAAAATATTTTTAATAAAAAATAATTTTAAAAAATTGGGAAAGCCTTTTTTTATTTTTTGATTTTAACATTAAAACGATAAAATTTACTTGTAAACAAATTTTAACATAAAATTATAAATTTCTTTCATAAATTTGGGTTTTTTACTTTATTTTCATTTTTTCTGACCAAGAGTTACCTATCCGAAAATTTGATAAAAGGATTTTTAAATAAATTAGGATTTTAAATAATTTAATAAATAAATTTGCCAGAAAGTATTAATTCATTTGCTAGACCGAATATGAGTTTAAATCTAGTCTGAATAGATTCAACTCAAAATATACAGAAAAATATTATTACTGTTTTTATATTTAATTAGTAAATATTCCAATTATTCTACTGCACTTGATTAAAATTTTAAAATAAAATATTTATTTTCTTTTATATTTTAAACTTTTTAATAATTTCGAATTAAGATACCATAACCATTTGACCTAGGTAAGATGTTTTGAATTTCTAAAATAAAATCACTTGGACTAATATTACAAAAAATCCATCAATTTCCCTAATATTTTCTACTTAAAAAATAAGCTTAGAATTTTTATTAACACGTAAAGATGAAAAAATAGTTATGATTCTTTCAAAAATGTGTTTTGTTATTTTGTGAAAAAAACAAGTAAACAAACAAAATAACCTTCCAACAATATATTTTTTTTGTTCGAAAATTAAAAGCTTTCAATTGTTTGAGAAATTCATAACAATTTCGTTTTAAGGGTTTATTTGCTCTATTTTTGTTAGACAAATGTAACTTTTCCAGGATAAATGTCCAACCGCCGTCTAACTCTCCGTAAAGAGAATCTGCTCTTTACTTTCCTTTTGCTGTGAAGCTCGTACAAATTCGTACTCGTAGCTGGTACGAAGCGATAATTAACAACCAAAATTTTTTGAACAAATTTTGAATATTGTGGATTAAATGCCTCCTATCTAATTGAATTCCTAACTAATTGAACTCCTTCAACTTATAATAATTGAGGGGAATGATTTACAGTAAAAAAGGAAAATTAATCTGCGCCTCAAATATGGGGGGGGGGGGGAGCAGGCCAACATACCGCAGCCCAACCATATAAGTTGTCTCAGATTCCACAATTAGAACGAAGTTATAGCCTCGGCGATAGGTTGGGCTCGCGGTAGGTTGGGGTGCACCCGGGGGGGGGGGGTGTGATTTTTATTGGTTTTATTTCTTTTTGTTGTAATCACAATAGTGTACAAATTTGTACCTGTATTTAAAATCACTCTCTTAATTAAATAAATATCTCCACGTTTTTTGTAATTGACGAACGCAGTTCGGCAAGATAAATAATTTTGTTTATAAAGAATTATTTTTGAATTTAAATCGTTTAATTTCGTACATTTTTTAAAGAATTATTTTTAAAGTAAAAATTTTTCTCATGATTTTATAAATTTAAAAATGTATGTTTTCACAGTCTTCATTTTTCATTTAAATTAGCTTAAATAAATTTAAAATAATTTTCTAGAAACGTTTAACAATAACTTATAAACTTAAATAATTATTTAAATTAAATGTAAGCCCTGATAAATTAAAAATTATAGAAAAGCAGCACCACTCTGATGGATAATAAGCCATTATTACGTCCTTAAGCGCCACAGTCAAAAATTTTAAGAATTTTGAAAGGCCTCGAAGCCAATTTTTTAATTTGTTAGAGAAAAAAATTTAGAGAAATATCCATGGTTTTACTTGACTATCCATGTTCGGGATCTACGCCCAAGGATTCTATCCCTCGAAATTTCTAAAAGTTGACATCAGGTGGAGGGGGCGGGGGTATTGACAACATGGGAGCAATTCTGAAAATACTTAAATTTATTTATGTGCCTTAGAATGTTTCAAAGTTGAAAAAATCGCCTGTGATACTAAAAATCTAAATTTTGGTGTCTTACCAATTGACTTTAATAATTCAAAATGTTGCATAACACTAATTTAATATAAAAAATTTATACCTATTTTAGTAGAATTTATTTCATAAAAATTTAAATTATGTATCCTCCACTAAATAATTTAATTAATGGAAAAATTATTACAAATGGAAGAACAAACAATAATAATATAATTTCAACAAAATACTTTTTATGTTTAATTTCTTTAACTTTTATTTTTTGTTTATATTTTTTAATACAAATGTGGCCAAATAACAGTTATGATAATTACAAAATTATTCCTAATAAAAAATTAATTAATTCAAATTTACTTTTTGAAAGAAGAGGATTAGAAGAATGCATTGAAAACGATAATAATAGGTTGGTTTTAGGACTAATTAAATTTTATTTTAATGTACCCTCTTTTTTGATTTCAAAAATTTTAAATTGTTAGTTATGCAAAATTTTTATAAGTAGCTATAATAAGTGAGGGGTCCATTCCGTTTGGTCCAGGTCCATCCAACAGTCCATACCGATCCAGTCCATTTTGATAACCTTAAAAGATATATTTTTGTGTATTTGAATTATGTGGCGTAGATTAAATTTTGATTAAATATTATCAGTTAATTTTTAAAACTAGAAACGATACAAAATGGCCTTCAACATGTTGTGGTGAGGAAATGGCATATTCATTTATTATTCAAACAAACGACAAATTAACTAAGACTATGGTTAGCGGTCAAAGATTTGATTGTAAACATCTACAATTAATTGATAAATATAAACTTACTGACAAATACAAAATTAAACAAGAAATACCAGTTAGTTTAAATTTAAAATTATGTCACCAAAATTCCTATTAAACCATCAAAATAGTCCAAAAATATCTACCTATATACATATAGTATCACTGCTAATCCCAAAATCTCTTCTAAATACTATACAAAGGGAACTGCGGACTCAACTGAAGTGTTCTGATAACGATAAATAATTTTTGCCAAGAAGGAATCTCGGTTGTTTCCAAAGCTCCTAAATATTAACCAAACAATATTTTATCAAGTCACATTCCATTCAATTGTCTCCAGACTTTTTACAAAACTAATGTTTTAAATTATAGTAACGTTTCACTCCTGCCGGGGATCTCTTTTTTTACCCCTAATAGAGCATATAATTTCTCAACCTTGGTTATGATTAGAAAGATTTGCAGGGGTTACCCATTAGTAGTTCATGGATTGAAAATTAATTTAACTTTAAAATGAATATTAAAAATTTTTACAGTTGAAAAGGCCAGGAAGTAAAGGTTTTACGTTTGTTACTGCTTCAGATATCCCATACTATAATCCAATGAAAAAACTTTTATATAATCTGAAAAAACAATTTGGTTGTTCTCAAAAAATTATTGTTTATGATCTTGGGGGTGTTAGTGAAGATAAGAACAAGGTACTAATTGATATATAAAAATGATTACAAACAAAAAATATTCTGAAATTGAGAAAATCTTAGCGGTAAGATCAGATTTGAAGTAAGAAAACAAAAATTTCTAATAATGTCTCTTTCAAAAGAGCTTTTTGTTTTAAGTCGAAGGGATCAAAATTGGCGTTATCTAACGTCACTAAATCATTCTAATTTTATTATATTCGAATCAGTTATTGTTGTTTTTGCTAAGATTAATATTTATGTATCTATTGAGCTTATAACTAATTACTTAGTAATCAGTAATTTTCTTTTATAATAATTTTAAATAAAAAAGATGGAAGAATTAAATGCAGTTTGTGGACTAGAATGGCGAAAATTTAATTGGAGCATTATGCCTGCGGATCTTCGTTTTCCGCGTGTTTATGCATGGAAATTTTATATTTTAGTAGTATTTACATAATTTATATAATTCATAATTAATTATTTACTATTTAATAAAAGGAAATATATACAGAATATGATACTTTTACATGGATGGACTCTGCTATAGTACTTAATGATAGAAATTCGTTAAACTCAATTTTTGATGGCATGGAAAATTCGACAATATCTAAAGTTGTTTTCCCTGGGAGCGCAGGTAGCTTCGATCCAAATATTTCTTTCGGGTCTACATTTTGATAGAGAATTGGAAGAGAATTTTAATTTACTTTAAAAAATTTTATTTTTAAATCAGATCCTTCCCATAGTGTACAATTTGCAACAAACGTAAGTGAGTAATTTTTAGTTGAGATTGTAATAATAATTAATATACTTATTTATAGGGATGTATACGTTCATCCCTTTGGTTTCAAACTTGATTAAAATTGAAAATAAATGGGACGAAAGAATGATCGCTTCTGGTTTTAATATAATGCATAAAAGCGAGTATACAAGACAACTGCTAAAATGGTGTAAAGGAATTATTTAATATTTCAAATTTTAATAGGAGAATTGAAGTTTATTGTCTATGGGATATGAGAGGATAAATTACGCATAAATATAGAAAACACATTAAAACTAATAAATGTTTTAACAGGGCTCTTCTTTGTGCAGCAACTAAACAATGTATTAATCCCGAAGGTTCAAAACTAGGATGTCCTGAAGCTTCTTCTACTCCATCGTGTCATAGATTTGATCAAAGCCTTTATGCTCTTCTTACTATTAATAACGAGTATCAACGTTATGTTTTAGATAATGGTGAGACAATATATGTATAATACATATATAGTTCTTTATAAATTCTTCAAGTAAAAATTTAAGCCTTTTATCCTCTATGCGATGTGAGAGGATATGAGATGGGATGTGAGAGGATTTCATTATAAAGTGAAAATTATTTTAAAGAAGTCCCTTCCATTGACCATCTTTTTATAAATAAAAATCAAAACTAATAATAATCCAATTTTTCAGATAAAAACTTTCTTCCACATTTCCATCATGATCATCCTCGAACAAAAGTTCGGCATCAAGTACAAAGAGGCACAAGTTTGGATAAAAATTTGGATTTTAAGAAAGGAGTTGAATGTTGTTAGAAACCGTTTGATTAATAAAAGAAATATAACGAATATTTATGTATTCTGTTAATCCCCTTCTTATGAGAGATTATGGTAGCTTTCCTAAACCAACTAAAATTAATAACCTTCAAGGTTTAAGGGCTATAAATTTTTTTTATTTTGAAATTCTAAACTTTGTATAAAATAAATATTTTAATAATTAAAAGTTAAAAAAATTTCTCTTGTAAATATTAATTCGCTTCTCAGCAGAGGTCGATCGGAAATGATGACGGTGCCGGAAACCGAACTGTCGGAAATCGGAAATGGTTCGAAAGTCAGAACTTGGAGAGTTACAGTTAATTATCGTCAAGCTCATCCAATCCCCAGATATACAAATCCCCTGATATCACATTCATATCCAAACCCCTCGATATATCCAAATCCTCGAAATCCCTCGATATTCCCTTTAATCCACCCAAATCATCCGTTTTTGATAAAAACTCACTGTTTTATAAGCTAGCGCCAAAACAGCCCAGCGCAAAACGGCCCAGCCTCCTAAATTACGGATTGCGGATGACCTGAAATTGCGGATGACGTGAATTTTTTTTACTTGCGGATTGCGTTTTAAATGAATTTCAATATCCAAACTTTGTTTAAATTAACAAATAATAATTATTTTTTTTAATTTTACCTCGCTTCTATGTCTATAATCAATAATTGAATATTTAACTATAGAGGCATGCCTCGAGAATTCAAAAAAAAATTTTTAAATAAAATTTTAAAAAATCAATTTAAATTTTTTATAGCTATGTAAAATTACATTAACGAAATTATTTATTTTAATTTATTAAATTTAAATATAATTTTTTATTAATTTTAAACAAATTTCCATTAATTTTAAATAATTAAATTGAACATGCCTCGACAATTCGAACATGCCTAGACATATCTAGTGCTCAATACTCTTGCCTATTTTGCCTTAGTTTTTTATTTAAAATAATTTATTTAGATAATGTATCTTAAATTAATTCTTTGTATTTTTCTCTTTTTATTAATTTTTGTGACCATTTCTGGAGTAAAAAATTGCAAATGCTCCAAAAACAAAAATTTTGTAAAACGTCGACACAAAAGAATGGTTGATAAAGATGATTGTGTTTGTCCCGAAGGGAGTTCTGCTGGAGGTTATGATACTAGAAAGTTTAAACGGCGTAAAGGGAAGGCACCTATGGAGAAAAAAATTAAATTAAACAAAAAAGCTTTGTATATTTGTGATAATTTTTTCTATTCGCATCTTTCCTTGAATGTATGTTTTTTATTTTTAATTAATAAAGTAAGGCATAAATTATCCCGAAAGAATAATCATCGCAGTAATAAAAATACTCAAAGAAATCCAAATTTTAGCACAAAACAGCCATTTCCTGAGATAAAAGATCTTACTTATCTGATCACGTTCACAAAGTTTAAACGGCGTAAAGGGAAGGATAATATTTGTTTGGGGATAATATTTAAATTATATCTAAATATTAGAGTGATATTATATAAAATTGTTTAATTATTTTTAAATATTTTCATTAATTATTATTCAAATAATTTTAGTCGGAGCTAGCCAATATTTTATCAGAAGAATATGTTGTTGTAAGTTGTATACTACATAATAAATATATATTATGTTCTGAGTGCACAAGATTTTCTCAAAACAAAAATTATCTTTTTAATCGAACTTGCTATTTTGTTTCAGATTTTATTTTAAACAAATTTTGACACAAGATTTTAAAAAATAACAAATTCAAAAGATATGTTCAATACTTTATGTTAATACTTTAATATCTAATTTTAATATTTCAGCATTTACATATAGATCCTATCAATTTAACTTATATTTCTTACTCTTTTTAAATTTAATCTTTCTAACAAAAACCCAGTCTAATTATAAATAAATTTCAATAAATATATTTTCTCTAATTTAAAATAAAATTTTAATTAAATTTTATAGGATATGCTTATTTACAGCAAGGAAGGTGGAAAGACTGTAGATGAAGTTTTAGGTGGAAATAATTTGAATAAATTTAGAATTATTGAAGTTCCAATAAATCCAGACCGATTGGATGAAGAAATAGTTGATGAGGATGGAGAAGATGAAGCTTATAATGAATTTGCTAATACACCTGAATTTTTTCTAATCGGGATTTATAAAGGTAGTAAATATATTAATAATATAAAATATATTAATAATATGCCAGTTCTAAAATGCCAGATTCGAAAATAAAATTTTGATTTGAAATAATTTCTAACACCGCGGGTGTAAAATAATGGCCCTCATTTTCGGCGTAAAAAAATTGGAAATTTTGCGGAAGACGGAGGCGGAGGACATCATCCCTTGTATGTAAATAATTTCTCTCTAAAAATAACTGTCAGTAATTTTCCAATACCTCAAAAGGTTATATGTATATTTATAAATATTTAAAATCTATATAAAAAATTTTTGTTTTTAAAATTAAAGAGATTATAAAAAACGAAGTAGTCTACATCGACGGTGTTCAAATTGGGATTTATGATTGGCTTAAACAACAAATTAAAGATCAAGAATATTCTTTAGGAATTGCCGAATTTAACCAAATGGCCGCTTCCTTTTATGTTTTTAAATTATTAGGAATTAAAAACACTTTTAATGTTTCTGTTTCTGTATTCTTTCCCGGATATCTTCAATTTCTTGAAATTAATGGAAGAGCAATTGACGTTACTAAACATGAAGTTCCAGGTGAGAAATTATTAGAATTTTTTAGAATTATTTGATAGACCTTCCAGATAAATTTTAAGCCGAAGGTTTAAGCAGTATTTATTTTTAATATTGAAGTATTAAAAAATAAATAGTTTCGTTGTTTCCTCACAATTTAGAGTGGAAATTATTAAGGAAGGCACAAATGAATAAATTAAATGGAAAGTTTTGTTAGGTTGTTATATTATTATCAAAATATGTACATACTTAAAAAAAGAAAATATTATTAACTAGAGTAAGTCGAGTACCGAGTAATTGGGAAAAAACCGAGCTCGAGTAATCCGAGTTTGAAAAACCCGAGTTCGAGCTCGAGCTCAACTTTTTAGGCCGAGTTCGAGTTCGAGTAGTCGAGTATTTTTTATAAAACAGTATTTTTAAATAATTTCGAAAAAAAACAATACTTTTACTAAAGGATATTCATCCTCAGTGCCGTGTTTTGAGCATTTGTTGGCAGTATTGCGTTAGATCTTCATCCAAATCCCATTTATTTTCTTAATCCGACTATATCCCTCTTAATCCGCAGAAATTCCATGATATGCACACGATCAATGTTGAATCCGGGCTCCGGGTTGAACATCAATGGATAATATTATTTCGGGGATTCGTGTAGATTGAGGATATCGAATGATAACAGAGGAACGAGATGGATATCAAGGGATTAAGCGGGATTTAGGCCGATTATAGTGAGATTTGGGTGTATTATTATAGAAGCAAAATCTTGGAAATTCGGGAGATTATGTTGTGTATGGGCGTCAGCCCTTAAAGTGTTTACTATAAAAGCCAGAGAAAACGTCAGTCTATTCGGATCATACTAGCGGGGCTAGTCACTGATCTCTTTCGTCTGTCCCATTCCCTTCGCCTACACATTGTTCATTTCTACACGTGATAAATTGTTATTGTTGTGCTCGTCGACATCATTTAAATCTCGGACACCTCGGGTCGTAACAAATGGCGCGGTCGACAAAAGTGAAGTGTGGCGAAGTGTAGTGAATTGCTTTTAGCAATTAGTGAAGTGATTGTTTTGAGTTTGAGTGGACAGACGTCGTAATTAGTGATCGGCATGAGTCGAAAGTGAATTGAGTAAAATTTTAGGCGCAGAGGACATGTTAGTAGTAGTGACCGAAAAAGGACTCAGTGCGAGTGCCAATGGTCGGA